AGGGAACATTGAAAAAATTGGGTTTGTTTCTTCTGAAGAAGAGAAGACTAAGAGGGGACATGATAATAGTTTTCCAGTACATAAAAGGTTGGTACAAGGAGGAGGCTGAAAAGCTGTTGTCCTTAACGTCTGAAGATAAGACAAGAAGCATGGGCTTAAATTACAGCAAGGGTGGTTTAGTTTGGACATTAGGAAAAATTTCCAAACTGTCCAGGTAGTTAAGCACTAGAACAAATTGCCAAGGGAGGCTGTGGTATCTCTATCATTGGAGGTTTTTAAGAACAGGTTAGACAAATGCCTGTCAGGAATGGTCTAGTTATTACTTAGTCCTGCCTTGAGTGCAGGGGACTGAACTAGATGATCTATTGAGGGCCCTTTGGTCCTACACATCTATAATTCTATGATAACATCTGGGAAACCACATTCTCACACTGCAGTAAACACATGTCATATCTGCTGCCTGATTCAGGGTCTGCCCTGGCCTAAGTGCTGATAGTATCAACTACAAGATAGATTATTAGACAAATGGCTGAAAAAATGTGAAATTATGGAACAGCTATTAAAGATTAAATATTTTCTGGATAAAGTAGTTGAAGTGCAGTGTATATTAAACAGGACATTCAGAGAGCAGTGATTTTTAATATGTGCATGAACACATTTAAAAACAACAATGGCCTGTAGAGTAAGATTCTGCAGCATTTATAAGGTCAAATTTTCAACTAACCTCAAACCAGGCTCCAAATTGCAGATACAACATTTAGCAAACACCTGTTATGGCTGCTCAACAAATATTTGCACACACAAATTTGTTATTTAGGTGCCTTGTCTGCACAAATAGTTGTTTGCATGTGCAAAATAGGCACAAAACCAATTTTGTGAGTACGATCGATTGAAAGCTTAAAACACTAGAGGTAAGATTCTGTGCTGTGTCTCTAGATGCACAGAACAAATCTCACAACCCAGGCGCAGAGGGGCTAATGTGGCTTTAAGCAGCTCCCAGTACAATTTAGGCAGCCCTGAGGGACAACTGCCCTGAATTTAAGCAGTGCTGCATTCTGCAGCCTGGCCCCAAGCCATACCTGCTATGTCAGGATTTGCAAGAGTGTTGCTGAAAGGACAGTCTGCTGCTGTCTTCCTTAGTTCCTGTGCCAAGGGGGAATTCTACCCAGACCAGATGCAGATTTTAGAGACCCTTTGACCGTTACCTGGCCAGAGCATGGTTGAGAATCTCAATCTAGGGGCAGAAATTCAAAGAGCAAGGCAGAAAACTGGGCATTAGCGTTTTACAATCTGTGAGCTAGATCCTCAACTTGCATGAATCAGTGTAGTCCCACGGCCCACCATGTACAAGGATCCCTTCGCCTACCAACTTCAAAGTAGAAAGGTGGCAGGTAAGCTGTACCAGCATCACTACAAAACAGTGTTTCTAGGGGGAAGTGAAAAGCAACTTATTCAGCTAAAATCAGTGGGGATTTACCCAAAAAAGGGCTGAGCGAAAACTGACTAAAGACATTATGAGTAGACCTTTGAGTTGCAATGCATCTAAATAACAGGGTAAGTAGACTTAGTATGGCAAAAAGTGCAGAATTTCCATGACCACCCGCCAGATATTTGTTTTAATTTATTTTCTTTTTTAACAACTTCCACTTTTGTTCATCACTTTACTCAGCCTAGTTCAGATGCCTAATTCATTCAAAGCCAAATTCAGTCACCCTCACTCATATAATACCTCCTCCATTAGTGTTCCTTATTAAAATCAAGAGAACATGTATTATTCACTGTAAGTAAAAGGGACAGAATCTGGTTCTCAGTCCAGAATTCTCTAAATAAGCTCCTCTTAAACTCACTAACTCCCTTTCTGGCCTCTCAGCTCTAGAATTTATTGATAAAAATAAACCCTTCCCCACACACACACACACACACACACACACAACGAAAGCGCTCACCTGCAGTCATTGTTTATTATCACCACGAATAAAAAAGGTATAATGTCTGCAGTGACG